AATTTTGTATAGTCAGCGTTGAAATATTCTCGAAATAATGTCCGATAGCGATGTATAGCTACCTTCAGCAAGCTCTACCGAGAGTTGTGATACATCGTACTCAAGCAGTAGATAAGAAATGGAAGTCGCGAGTACGGTTCAGCCCTACGAACGAGAACCGCGTGCATCAGACGAAGATTTTGACAAAGACTGACAAAGACGGTTTCTCGCCTGCGGTGTTTAAGTCAAGATTAGAACAAAAACTTCCCTTTAATGAATGTTTAGTTTGCTGCGTTTGTGTTTTGTTTTCTACGGCGAAATCTATCATGGTTAAGAATGGGTAGCTGTGTTCATTTCTGTTGCTATAACATTTTATTCCTTCGCACTATGTGCTGCGAAGGTTCCCCTCGGTCAATGCTTTGGAGGGTAAAATTCCGGACAGCCCCATACTACTGTTAAACAAATCTGTTTTTCCAATTGCAATGTATTGTTTTTGTTGTTTTTTTTTCTATCCAAGAACTGAATACATAATGTAGTATAGGGCTGTGCGGAAAATTTTCCGCTGAAGATAACATAAATATTAAATGAATACATACCCTGGGATTATCACTGGCAGAAGAACTCGCTGAAAACTCAGCCATTTCCAATTTTTTCTGCGCATTAAATCAGCTTAGCAGGCATGCCTCTTTGCTTATAGGAAAGTGACGTCACTGTAGAAATTCTACCAACTACCTGCACCATATATGGCGCTCGGAAAAAATAAGTAATTCTGTTACGCTTTTCGCAGTGAGTCCGATAATCATTATTTCGGTGTCGAGATCATGTTGGCGTGTTTAGTGTTTCAAGTTTTGGTATCGCCCGGATTGTTCTCTCAGTTGTCTTTCAACCCTTCAGCAGGTAAGAGCTTTTCTAATGTTTAGTCTAAGTAGAGTTTTGAGCCTCAATCGAAACAAGTTTCCTTTGGAAAACATGAACTGTGGAAGAACTCCTAATTGTTCAATTTGAGAATGAAAAGTGGAAGACTCTTAGATCCGGAAGCTCCTAAATATCTAAGAATATATGGTACTAGTGATTTTGCTTTTGTTTTTTCACAATGATCATTTTTTGAAAACGAGAAATCTATGTTATGTTGATCTTTCAACGTTGCTCTGCAAGTAATTTAACAAGCCAGCGAAGTCACGAACTAGACATTATAATAGAATCGATTTCAGACAACTCGATCCAGCCGCCAACTAGAAGCAATTTTCGGTAAGATTTTCGTTTAAACCCATACTTCATTTCATTTACGTAACTGTCATTAAGAGGGAGAGGCTTCTACAGAACTGTTCGTATTAGAAAATTTGAAGTTTAAGGAGTTCCATGTAGTTCTAATTTACTGATGCAAAAAAAAAAACCCATACTTCATTGCAGTTACGTAACTGGCATTAAGGGGGAGAGACTTCTACAGAACTGTTCGTGCTAGAAAATTTGAAATTCAAGCACGATCACAGTGCAATTGCGGGAATATATATAACGGCGTCATATATGACTAACACAGTCTATATACGGTAAGATTTTACGCCACTATATAATTAAATTATATTACCGGCGTAAAATTTACATTATGTATATCACCGGCTGGAAGAAATTACGATTTTACGCCAGTAACTGACGGCGTAATTTCTTCCAGTCGGTTGTGTTTATATGTACGATTTTACGCTAGTAACTAACGGCGTAATTTCTTCCAGTCGGTTGTCTTATATGTAAGATTTCACGCCAGTAACTAACGACGTAATTTCTTCCAGTCGGTTGTG